GCTGGGTGAAATCGGAGTTAGCCTTTTATATGGGTTCTTCCAGGGACTCACCAGCCAGGTCACATGATGTTTCTTTGGAAATGAGGCTTTGGAAGAGCTCCAGTTTTGTTCTGTTTTTCAAGAGACTGTCAAGATACTTGGGGAATGCAGGTTGTTATTTTTATTAAGTTTACTTACTTATTTTGGAAAAGAGAAACAGCATGTGTGTGTGTGAGCAGGGAAGGAGCAGAGAGAAAGGGGTAGAGAGAATCCCAAGCAGGCTCTGCACTGTCAGCACAGAGCCTGACATGGGGCTCGAACTCATGAACCATGAGATCATGACCTGAGCTAAAATCAAGAGTCAGACATGACTGAGTCACCCAGGTGTTCCAAGGTTGTTGTATTTTTTTTTTTAATTTTTTTTTCAACGTTTTATTTATTTTTGGGACAGAGAGAGACAGAGCATGAACGGGGGAGGGGCAGAGAGAGAGGGAGACACAGAATCGGAAACAGGCTCCAGGCTCTGAGCCATCAGCCCAGAGCCCGACGCAGGGCTCGAACTCACAGACCGCGAGATGGTGACCTGGCTGAAGTCGGACAACTAACCGACTGCGCCACCCAGGCGCCCCCCAAGGTTGTGGTATTTAATGCTACTCCTGAACTAACTAGCAGGCAATGTGACTCAGGCAAATGAAAAATTCCACTAAGCTAAAAAAAACACAACCAAGAGTCACCTGTTTTTCTTGAATAAATGTTCCCTGGGTTGCTGTAAGACTTGGTTAATTCAGCAATTAATGATCCAAAATTATGATTTCACTTTGGTTTATACTAGTTTGTCACAGCTTTTAGGGAAGGGAGATTTTTCACAAGTCTTTCCTTGATTATTTTCAATGACTTCACCTGGAATAATTCCTTAAATTATTAAAATATTAATCTAATATTACTTGTACTGTGATTTTATTATACTGAATGTAACAAGAACTTTCTTAAATATATAATTCGGTGTTTGTGAAATGATAAGTACACCCCCAAAAATTCAGTTCATCTAAATTTATGTCAGTTTTATGGAAAATTTTAGTTTACCATAACATTCTATTTTGCACTTAATCATTTGAGATTTTATTGTCACTTTTGTTGTTGTTGTCCTTTAGTGAATGCTCCAACTTAAACCTAAATTTCATCGTCCTAATAGTAAAACACAGAAGGGGCATCAGTTAGGCTGACTATCAGAGTTTTACTTATTCCCTCCAAAAGTCATCCCATTTTGGGATAAAGGAATTTCCATTTTAAGGCAGGAGTCAATTTTGAGGGATTTTTTTTTTGAGTTTTCAATCGCTTATACTCTGAATATCTTTCACTCAGAGTATCCCTGCTAAGCCCATCCTTCACAGGTAGAATGGTATCATTTTTCTGTGAAGAAAGCCAATGGACACCTCTAGGAAACAGTGGATTGAGGTGACACAGGGTGAGGTTGTTGGGGATGATCAGTGGTAGAAGAGTAATTCCACCATTGACGATAGTTACGGTAGGAACAGTGAAGGAACTGGCAACAGTCCTTGGATGGCCCTTCTGCACACCTGAACATGCACATCCTCCCATTTAGTAAGTAGACCGCCAAGAATGTGCGAGAGCAGTGGGGAGCTGTCCACATGAAGGCTGAGAAAACTAGCTCTGAGGGACGTGCACTCAGAACTACTGGGCAGGGGGGACTTAAGGAAAATGAAGAGGTCTTGCCAAGTAAGGAAAATCAGAGCCATGGAAATCCTGTTGTGCACGTTTCTCTGTGTGTGTGTGCTTCTGTTCTTACCAGTCCTGTCTAACTTAGGAAAGGTGATTTTTCTTCCTAATGGTAATGGTGACATGAATTAACATTATTGAGCACTAGCTTTTTCCCAGGCATTATTACACATTTACCTATATTGAATCAAATTTTCAAAACCTTTTTATAGAAGGTCTGTTTTTAATAACTCCATTTTATTTATTTATTATTTATTTATTTAATGTTTGTTTATTTTTGGGAGACACAGACAGAGTGCGATCACAGGAGGGGCAGAGAGAGAGAGAGAGAGAGAGGAACACACAGAATCTGAAGCAGGCTCCAGGCTCTGTGCTAACAGAGGGGCTGTGCTAACAGAGGGGCTCGCACTCATGAACCGTGAGACCGTGACCTGAGCCAAAGTCGGCCGCTTAACCGACTCAGCCACCCAGGGGCCCCTAAACTCCATTTTAAAGAGGAGCCATCTGAAGCAGAGAGTTGAGTAACTCACCTAGCATTATATGATTAATAAGTGTTACAGTCAGGATTTGAATACAGTTCAAACTATCTGTACAAGGCCCCGTCCTCTAGAAGTGCAAATGCTATAAATGACATCATTTTATTTAACTTATTTGTAAAAACAAAGACAGTGATAGTGGTTGTGTCTATTGTTTAGGACCATCCATCACACTACATTGGTGGTTGGTGATACAGGCCACCAACGCATCATTCTGCTCTCCTTACTACCTTGGCTTCTCCATTCGCTCAGAGTAAATGACAAAGTCGATCGATAGCATACTAGACTGTGTAAGTTCTGACCCCTCTGTGTCCCACCTCCTCTTTCTACTTCCTCTCACTCACTCATCTCCAACGCTCCTGGTCTCCTCGATGCTTCTGAAACCCAGCAGGCAAGCTCCAGTTTTTTATGTCCGCCTATTCCCCCAGACATCAACAGGGGTAACTGCGTCAGCTCCTGTGAGACTTTGCTCAAATCTCATCTGTTCAGTGAGGCGTGCCCTGATCATCCTATCTAATGCTGCAGTTTATACTACAACACCTCTCTGTGCTCCACTTTCCCCACAGTGCTGACTACCTTCTCTCTTCTGTAATAAACACATAATACGTTTCTTGCTTGTTGCCTTTGCTTCTGCCAAAACACCAGCTCCACCGAAGTGAGGAATCTGTCTTCCTCCACAGAGTAGGTGCTCATTTATCAAAAGAAAAAATAAATATAATTTCTAAGAGTGAAAGAAACCCATGAACACCACTGGATTTCATGCCACCATGGGAAGCAGGCTTCTCCAACACTGGCTTTCAAGTTCATCCTTTGGATTTTACACAGGCTGTCTCAACTTTCTAGGTAATTTCTCTCCTGTGTTCTACCTGGGAACCCTGACCCTTCTGCCGAAATAACTTTCTACGTAATTTTCTCCACCCCTCCCTAACCTAGAACTTTTACCTCTCACCTTTGCATCTATAGCATGTAGCACAGTGACTGACATATGATCAGACCTCCAGTTGATGAAATGAACAATGGTTATTTCTTTTGATCTATGCTCCAGGCCCTTACAGACTTCAAAGACTGACACTTATGTTCATAAGGACTTTTTTTTTTTTTCAACATTTATTTATTTTTGGGACAGAGAGAGACAGAGCATGAACGGGGGAGGGGCAGAGAGAGAGGGAGACACAGAATCGGAAACAGGCTCCGGGCTCCGAGCCATCAGCCCAGAGCCCGACGCGGGGCTCGAACTCACGGACCGCGAGATCGTGACCTGGCTGAAGTCGGACGCTCAACCGACTGCGCCACCCAGGCGCCCCCATAAAGACTTTTTAAAAATGTAATGATCTCATCTCTACCATGGGGTTATCATATGTGCACAGTTCCAGACACCAAAGGCTTGAAACAGAACTGCTTTATTTTCTTTACAGACAGCATTTCTAAGTAGGATATAGGATCACATTTGGAAATCTCTCTGTAGGCTGCTGTAGGCAATGTGTCTTGTAGGCTGCTGTATCGTTATGTATGTGCACATACACACAGACTAAAGGCTCAGGAGTTGAGAGTAGTCCTGAATTCCACTGAACAATCATTCTGAAGCTCATTTCAAGAGCAGCCCCTTTCTCACTAAGAGAGGTATGGTCTCACATGCATCTGTCTCTCTAGATACTCTAAACCATGAAAAGCAGCAACATCCATGTTTTAGCAAAAGCAATTTAGGAAGAGTGGCATAATCACATTCTCATCATTTTTGCTTCGGTGCAATTACCAGTCTATGTACAAGGATGAGACAGAAGAGCTCCTGTGAAACTTTTCAAGGAAAAATCAGCCAAGGGTATAACGTGTTGTGAGCCTTTCGGTACTCGTGATCCCTCTCCCATATGGTGCCAAAAGCCCTTATTTAATTCACTCATGTCGTCTCAGAATTACATAATTGTCTTCAACCAATGATAAAATACTAGTAGAGCAAACTGTACATTTTCAATGGATTTTTTTCAAATTTTTCTTAGAGAATGCTTTGTGACGAACACAGAGAAAGTTACCGATATGTAGATTAATATCCTATTTTTTTTAAAGTTGTTTCACTTCCTTAATGAAATTTTTCCATTTTTTAACACATCTCACTAAAGCTAATTCTGAGGGGAAAGTTGTGGTTTTGTTTTGTTTTGTTTTGTTCTGTTTTGTGAGAGAGCGCCAGAGAGCACAAGCTGGGGACGGGGAGAGGGAAAGGGAGAGGGAGAGGCAAAATCTTTTTTTTTTTTTTTTAACATTATTTATTTTTGAGACAGAGAGAGACAGAGCATGAACAGGGAGGAGCAGAGAGAGAGGGAGACACAGAATCTGAAACAGGCTCCAGGCTCTGAGCTGTCAGCACAGAGCCCGATGCGGGGCTCGAACTCACGGACCGTGAGATCATGACCTGAGCCGAAGTCGGACGCTTAACCAACCAAGCCACCCAGGCGCCCCAGGGAGAGACAAAATCTTAAGCAGACTCCACTCTGAGCGTGGAGCCCAACGCAGGCTGGGCTCAGCCTCACAACAGTGAGATCACAACCTGAGCAGAAAATAAGGGTCGGCTGCTTAACCTGCTGAGCCACCCGTGCACCCCGAAAATTATTATTTCTGAATTTATTTTTACATAAAAATAATAACTTCTAAGAAGGCCACCTTTGTTATTAAAGGTGTTTTCTTTGATTGGATACAACTATTTATGCATGATTCTAGAACGATGAGTGAGAGTGTAAAATGTTACCAGATACGGACCAACAAGGATAGAGTAGAGGATGCCTGGTCTATCTGCTGGCGGCTGAATGTTCCGGTCCTGGTCAACAGCTTGGATGGGCGGGGTAACCACGATGGGGTTCAGTTCTTCCTGGAAAAAAAAAAGGGAGCGTTTAGTCCCACTTTATTCTTAACGCCTCATGGAGAACTGACACTCAGATATGAGACATTACAGTCTGGACAGCTAGGCAATATCTGAACTAGTAGTTAAACTCAGCTTTTGAGATTTGAAAGTTAACACATTAGACTAGTTAATTTTGAATTCAAAGAGGGAACGATGTGTCCTCAGGGTCAGAATGAAAAGCCATAGTAATTACACACTTAGAACTTTATATCAGGGTTTTCTCCTAAGAGGAAGACGAGGAATAAATCTGCATCTTCCCTAGATAATTAAATCAGAAGTGTGAGGCTATCAAATATAATTTTATCTGTCTGTAGACAAGATTTGTAAGAATATTTACATTCTTTTTCTTCCTAACTCATGTTTTAAAAATTACTTTTTAATTACATTTAAAATTAAAAAAATTAAAAAAATTACATTTAAAAATGTAATCCCTTAATTACATTAAAAACAAAATTTAAAAAATCAATGCTTTAACTGAATAGAAATCAAAGCCCCATCACTGCAAATGTCATATAGTGAAATTGATTATATATTAGGCATGTACGTACATGCATATAAATTTAATTTATAATTATATGCAAGAGGACTCTGTTTAAAATCATAATATATTTCTCTAAGCCAGTGTTTGCCAATATGATGTCCAGTGGTATTCTGTTCCACTATCAGGATTGGTAAGCAGTTTTCTGTGCAGGACCAGATAATAAATATATTTAGGCTTCGCTGGACAGAGAGTCTCCGTGTCAGCTTCTCAACTCTGACACTGTAACACAAAATCAACCAAGTGGGTATGACTATGCTGCAATAAAGCTTTATTTACAAAGACGAATGGTATGTAGGACAGAGTTTCTTGGCCCCTGTACTGAGTGATCAATCATTCTTTGTAACAAAGATGCTGAAAAAACAAACGTGCACTCTTCACAGATAAGCTTGCGACACAGGATATGAAAGAAACTTTCAAAAAGTGAATCCACTTTCCTGCAGGTCTTTTCGGAGACTTTTGTGCTAATTTGCATAATGGCCATCTAAGAAGGGGGTGTTATTTGCGCATTTTCTAGAATCATCCATTAACATCTCCTTGAACTCTTACATTGCCTTAGAACACAGTTTGAGAAATACTGCTTTAAGTCTCTGCAAGCCCTCAGTCCAAACATACTAGTAATTTTAAAGGGAAATGATGTCTGTTTCAATATCTGACTTCACAGTCTAAGGAATCACTGCAACGTTATTTTATATTATATCTTCTCAAATGAGAGAACCTTGAAATGTATCATGTACTTTTATATAAAATCAGTACTTTCTAATCTCAGCAGAAATGTAGAGTGGTGGCCTGCTGAGAAGAAATGCAAGAATATGAAACTGTAACATGGAATACTTAATTTTGATTAAGTTACGGTAAGTTATATTAAACACAAGTACATTGCTAAAACATGTTAAATTTTTGAGGTTGAAATGATTAAAGGTAATCATTGAGCAAATATTCGGAGTTCACATACATCTTAGGGGTTCTGCAGACTTAAAAATCTCTAACAGGCTCTCCATAGCCTAAACGTTTTTAATATCTTCCTAAAAACAAAGAGCTCCTGGTAGGGATAACTTTGCAACACTGTATTCACCTTTTTAATGTGTCTTCAGATCCATGAAAATGTCAAACCAATATCAAAATCACTCCATTAAATCAGGATGACTACTGTTCTTTTGGTTGTTCTTTCCACACAATACAACACATCACAATACAACAGTCTTCCTCAACTGTTTGCCTTGTTCCCTATTTCTGTCCCTCGTTCTCCATTTCACTCTATCATTGCGCCACTTCTCTCTCTCTCTCTCTCTCTCTCTCTCTCTCTCTCATCACACACACACACACACACACACACACACACACACACACACACCTGCCCAACAGACAATTTCCTTCCTCTGTAATCCTGTATTTCTCCTGACACTGAAAGCATCCAAAGCTCTTCAAGTCTGTATGTTTGAACACAGGAGTGGAGGGCTGATAGGTCATCCTAGACATTTGTCAAAGCAGCCTGATGGCGTTAGCCAAAGTCAGCATGCAGCCAAGCTACTGCAGTTCTGGTTCAACTAATAAATCTGTGGTGGGTCTTCCAAAAGTACAGTAGCATGCAGATCTTGCGAAGGGAATTCAACTCTCAGGATGTTTTGCAGCCTGTCTTCCTTCCCATGGCCAGAGAAATATACTAAGGGATCCTAGACTCCTGCTTTTTGAAATAACTTACCTAGAATTAAAAGCAAAACGAAACAAAAAAACAGAAAACAAAACAAGAAAAAAAAAAAAACTGAACCTGAGGTCTTCTGGGAGAGTGCTAAACATGACCAGATCACATTGGGGTTTCTCTGCTGACACTTTTCTCTGCTAAGTGACCAACACATATACAGTTTTAGTTTGGGTAATGAGTCACATAGTTTAAAATCCTCTTCTGCACAAGTTGCTGGAATGAGAAATGGGGTTTCAGTCATATTTTTTAAAATTATATGAACAACAGGAAAAAAAAAACCTAAAAATAACACAATAAACAAAACCAAAAGGGAGGAAAAGGTTCTAATTAAATTCCTCATCTTTCATAGTTGGTTATTAATAAATGTATGGTGAGAACTGAAGAAATAAAAAGAAACAAGTACGCCGTTTAGAATTACGTGACATCTAGAATCAGAAGAATTGAAACTAGAAATACCAGCATGTGGCTGTCTCGGGAGAGTGGGCCTAGAAGTGAAGAAGGGAGGTGGGATGAAATGTATTTAAAGCCATTCAGTCCTGTTTCACTGTGTAGTTTCCATACTCTGTACTAATTTTAATATTATAAATTAGCAAATTGTACTAGTGAGAATACAATAAATAAACCCTCTTGGTGAAGGCTTCAATGAGTTTCTGGAAATTTGGGAGTACAGTTGTCTTATATAACTTCTTAGGACTGATTTTTGTCTTTTCTTACAAAGACTAGCGACTTAAGAAAAATTTTTTCTTAGGCTACTGTTTATGAGGGTTTTTTTTTTTAAAGAAAATCTAGGTTTAAAGGTGAAAAGGATGAATTATCAGCTATGGTTTCTAAGATTACCACCCAAGTATATTGGGCTGCTTGAATCTTGAGGATTTCTAACACTGGTAATATGTAACATTAAAGGATACTGTGTTTTGTGTAGGATGCTACTGTTACAGTATGTAATGAAATTTTTTATAAAGATAAGTAGCATTTAAGCCAGAGTTGGAAAAGGAAACATGTACTCATTAGAAGAAACAACATAATAAGATGCACCAAGTTTTGAACTTCTCCATCACCAAAAATCTCTGTATGGGAGATAGCCAGCCATTGGAAGGACATAAAACTAACCAAGGAAATGCCAGCAAGAAACTATTCCTTAGAAGAGAAAGAATTTTATGGGGGAAAAACATGCAATCATGTATAATATTTGGCAAGTTAATATCTACTTACTAAATACATTCATGTCAATTTGTATTGTACTGAATTTTCCAGCCCGGTAGCAGATCACCACACGGAGCCAGACCTGAAGGAAACCGGCCCGCGGTGACCACTGCCAGAGCAGGCTCCCCAGGCCTTAGAAAAGGGGAAAAACTAGGAGACGCATTTCTTTTGAAGAACCATCCTCTTCAAGCAGATAGTAACTACTGCTCCGTTCCTCTCCCGCTCCCTTATTTCTCTTAGCTTCTAATTTTACAGCTGGATTAGAGAAGAATTATTATGCTGAAGAACTTGGAAATTCACCCATGGCCTAATTATGCTTGGGTATCCTTAAGGACAGGATTGCAAGGTTCCCTTATGACCATATAATTGCAGTAATTGCTCAATTAGTCTTCACAGAAGGCTCTGTTGGCAGGTGCACACAAAATATCTAATAACCCACCGCCTAGCCTAGTGAGGAACTGTTTGCAACATATTTGCTTCATCAAGTTGAATTCCAGAGACACATAAAAAAGGCATCCAAACACTGCAAAGCTCTTGGGCGCCTTGCCCCTAAAGCAAATCTGTCTTCTCTGCAGCCTTCTTTGTCTTTGAGAAGAACTCATATCTTTGAGAAGAAGTCCCATCTCCTGAATTCTGTTCGTGCCGATGCGCACATGTTAAAAGTACACAGAAGAGTGGATTCACATTTCACCGCTTTGAGTCCCCAGAGTTAAATTCCCTGACATATTTAGTGATGGTGATTCCATATAAAGAGATTCATGTCGTGAAGATAATCATAGAAACTATTAAACAATAACGAAAAGATTGTCTCCAGTAGAAATGCTGCATAATTCTATGATTATAAAACCCAAGATTATTCCCCTCGGGATATAAGCTTCGTATCCAATTAGCTTTTCTGGAGGGGTGCCTTGTCTTTTCAGTATATCTAAGACAATGCTTTCAGGTTCAACTGCTGAATTCTTTTTGAGAAAATAACAAGAGGCGATTGGACTGTTGAGGTAAGTGAGGGTTAGTTACTCCTTCTACATCTTCAACACCAGAAAGAGAAAGCAAGTTTCAGTTGGAATGCTGCTATTGTAGTCTATGTATAGATATATCTGTAACTATTTATACACATAATAAATAAATGTATTGGCAAGCACAGATTAAAGACACTGTTCTTCAATTGTATACTTTTGTTTTATTCTAAAGTGTCTCTGAAAAAGTTTTTGAGATATATTTTTTGTCGCATATCCTGTGATGGACTGCTGTATTCCAAAAGTGCATCTGACCATCCTTGCAATTGCATATTTGATCTATAGTTCTAATACCTACGTTGTTTATAAAACATTTCTTTGAGCCTTTGCCTTTGATATTTATTTGCTTAGACCTAATGTAGTTTGAGCAATTTATTATTTTTTTGGAATTAGGAAAAGAAATTTATTTTATTTATTTTTGTGATATTGTCTTTATTTTTTATTTTTATTTTTTTCAATATATGAAGTTCATTGTCAAATTGGTTTCCATACAACACCCAGTGCTCAT